AGTTATTAGAATTGAAAATGGAAAACAAATAATGAACTCCAACTTCTCATTAATAGCGGAAAAATATCAATTTCAGAAACAGAAACAACGGATACAGAATGAAGGGGAAAGAATGAAGGAAAAAGAGAAAATGGAGGGAATTTGGCAAAGCCAAATTACCTTTACAATCACTTGGAGAATTATGACAAAAAACTTCCTATCATCCGGATTCCTTCATGCTTTTATGGATAATTCTGGACTAACTAACTTCTAAACAGACTAATAAGGTTATGACACGTGGAGTTCTAGAATTATCAGCTCCACTTGCACATAACAGAAGCATAATTCTGTTAAACCAGAGGAAAGGCGTGGTTTCGAAACCACGCCTTCGTCTTCTTCAGGCTGATTGACCGCGCCTTCTTTGTAGCCTTGGACACGCCTTCTTTCTTCTTCAAGCCGGACTGGTAGATCTTGTCCTTTTTTCTTCTGTCTTTCTTCTTCACTCCATGACACCTCCATACCCTGCTTTGCTCTCCTTCTACCGTTGCCGATCTGAAGAAAGCTCTTTGTCAGTCAGTTGCAAATTTTAGCCGAGCCACACACGTCTTTGTATGGTTGTGCTCAGTCATTAGGAAGGTTGGAGGCTGCAGCAATTCTCACCCGTCTGTAATTATATCAGACAAGGACAGTTTTGCTGATTTCAGTTTGACAAACGACCAGCAGATAACCGGGCTTCGGACAGATAGCATGTTCCTCGGTCGATACATTTGCTTTTGTGGTGAGCTTCCCCTTCTTTTTAGGATGATAACTCGTTCCATGGGATTTTTTTTTCTATTTTGGGGAAGAAATGGCCAGCTTTGGTATGGACATGGCTACTTTTAGGGTCTAATCTACTCTACTGTAGGAAAGCAATAGATGTTTGTTAGCTGCCTTGCCTTTACAGTATGACAATCGCTGTTGTTGTTTATTGCATAGAAACTGAACTTTTGTTCGCAAAATATTCTATTACTGTATTTTTTCCTCAATGTGGCTGGCTGACAGTTGCTTAATGCATGTAATTTGAGCTGCCGCTTGTGATACACTTTGTACTCTGTCTATCATCATACTTCCTAGTGTGCTCAATTGCTGGTTGTCATTTGATTGCATGGATGCCGTCATTTAAGGCTACATGCCCTCTGTTATCCGATGTGCTTATAAAGGTATATTCGCTTAGTTGGAATTTGTTGAATGCCTAGCCAAGACATAGTATAATTTTTTGTAATTATATTGCCAGCATTGAAATGAGCAAGCGGCCAGGCTACTCGTTCACCCATTTCTACTTAGGGGGAAAACGATTTGGTCCAGTGCATTTCTAACTACTACAAGGTAAGTTCTTGCTCCTCTTCCTGTTTGGACATTGTAAAGAATATACTTTATTAATCAAATACATTTCATTTATTGTTTGTAGATTTGTCCATGGGTAAATTAAGATGAGAAAACAAAGGCACGAATTTACGGAGCATGTGCACTTATCTAAGGAGCAAGAAATTGTCTTTGCCCAACACCTGGTCAACATACACAGGAATAATGAAATTAGGGACAATAACATTTCTAGCTATGTGGTTCCCGAAATACAACGGCCAAATACGGCACTTCCTTTAGCTCCGATAGTATAAGAAGCAAATACTATGCAATACGATAGTTAACCAAGCTGTACATTTCCTTCAAGAGAAATGGAACGGGATTGGGTTGGGATAGCCAGAACCATACATTCCTTATGGACGATAACAAGTGGGCCGAGATGGAGCATTTACAACTATTCATGAACTTGTAAGCTGGTTGCACATGTTTATTTTTCCTTAGTTGGACTAATTTGTTAACTTCCCTTTTTCCTTTTTTGTACAAGGTGAACCCAAAATTCATAAAGTTCCAAAATGACTACTTAGTCAATCATTTATGAAGGAAGTGTTTATCAATCAAGGCGCAACGGGAGACTTTAATTCTGACTTCGAAAACGACCCCCGTAATTCAACCGATGAGCTAGACATGGAAACTGCTGCACGATGTGCACGAAAAAAGGGTAGGTTGAAGCATGAGGACTGGCATGCTGATGTGGAGGTAGTAGGGGTGAATAAAGAGAAATGAAATAAGGGTAAAGGAAAGCCAAAGTCTGGTGATGCATCAAGCGATAGTCCTATGGCCACCGCGTCCGGTTGAGTGACTGATAGATACTTCAGGGCTCTTAACACCATTAAATCGCTTGTTAGTCGGAAGAAGACTAGCAGCATAAGTGTGTCAATAAGTTTTCCCACCAAGTATCGTTCTTGCCCTGGATCAAAGAAATCAGAGCATAATGTTGCCTTGGCTTAACTTTGGGAATTAGAGAACGTGAATTACAAAGCCAAAATGGCCAAGGCAGAAATATTGAAGAACCCTCAGGAGCTAACTATTTGGAATTTAGTTGGATCGGACCCCGATCGCATTACCTTTATGAAGTGTCGAGACTACTTCCCACCTGAATATGACACTCAAGAGCCCTCCTACCCCCGTTTTAGTCGCTAGTGCATTGGAGCACTTCTCTAAAACTGGCTATTGTTGCCTGTGTTTATTTATGTTTGAGAACCTTAGTTATAGCACTTGCTACCAGAATTTTGAGTGTTTTTTTCTCTTCGGCTGTCATTTGTTTCCTTTGTCATGCTTTGCATGGCCATGACTTTGTTGAGTATTTTATAATTCATATAATTCAGACAAGTTAACAAATAGTTGTGTCAGTTGATTGATAATGTAGGCAGCCAACTTATATATTGCTCTTCTAGTTGTGCATATTTTGTCAATACTTCGATTCTTAGTCTTTCTCCATTTGGCTGTTAGGATACCATTTTTTTTTAATGTGAAATTGTTCGGTTGTGTTAGGAAGGCAATGCCTTGCCTTGTAAGAACCTCCCAAATTTCAGGGGTTTGGGTTGTAGGTGTTTAGAACTTTTTAAGTTTTCAGGTTTATTTTTCTAGTGGCCCTGATTTTGATCTATATTGCTACCTAACACCTTGCAGATTCATCTTTGATGAAGCTGCACTAGCCACTTGATGGATAATGAAGATTATTCACGTGGTGGGGACATCTCTGACGAATCTGACGAGGACGAGCTCTTTTTGACCTTTGTCATGTTTGTGCTTTTAGAGTTGGCGCTATTCAACCAGTACCTAAACTCTTTCCAGAGGCGAAGAATTCGAGATAGTTTACTGTCAGGTGAACAATGCATTCTAGAGCTAATAAACAGCTATTGAAACAGAATATTCGACAACTTTCACATGGAAGCTCCATTTTTCTTGTCATTGTGTGACATGTTGTTTGAGCGTGGTTATTGGAAGCCGCACCTCACACAACTGGTGGAAATTCATGAGTCTGTCGTCATTACGCTTATGTGCTTGATTCATAATGAGCGACCTAAGGTTCTAGCCGAGAGATTCCAACATTCGTTAGAGACAGTGGATCATCATCTACAACGTTGACTTGCATCTCTCGTTTAGTTGAGACTCGACTTTGTCAGGCCAATAGATTATCATACAACTCATCCGAAAATACAAAACAGTGCTATGTTCGAACCATAGTTTAAGGTTAAGGCCTAAATGTTCAGTTAGTCATTATGTGAACCTATTAAATACGTAACACTAGCCCATGTTATCAGGAATGCGTTGGACCTATTGACATAACACACGTATCTGTTTGGTATAGAGCTAACGAAAGGAAACGTTATCGGAGCAGGCATGGTGGCCTATCACAAAATATTCTAACCGTGTGTGATCGTAATATGAAAATTCATTTATGTTAGGGTAGGGTGGGAGGGCAGTGCCCATGATTCTAGGATTCTACTTAATGTTTTACTTGATCCTAACTGTGTCTTTTCAATGCCACCAACAAGTGCATGAAAGTTAGTCATTAAATCACAAGCTACTGAGTTTTATTCCAACTACGTGCATTTCTCAATACTGAACATAGCTATCTGTATATGATATGTAGGCAAATATTATGCGATGGACACGACATACACAAATACATCAGGATTTATGTTAAAATGACTTTAGATAGGAGAAGTGAGATTACGTAAATAGTTATACGTGTTCAACTTTTAGAGTGAGGTTTGGTAGGAGAGCTTCTTAAGGGGACAAGGTTCGGAAGTGGTATTTATGACAATTATGTTAATAATTACTCATGCTCCTTGGGACCATATCCAATTGTCTAATTCAACCCCTTCACTTTTTTATTCCAAAAAGAAAAACCTTCAATTTTGGGATCAATATATTATTTTTAGGAAACACGCTTGCGCACACGCACACACACATATATAATATTGTGCTTTTCTTTTTGAGAATAAAATTTTATGAGACCAATGATGACTAAATATAATTGATAGTATATACTATCTTATGGGGGAATAATAAAATATATATTCTTCTTATTTTTTTTGTTTGCTTCTTGTTATCTTTTTCATGGGAAGGAAAGAAACAATTGATAGTGCGACATCTAATATAATTTATGACCTTTTGAACATATTAAATTTATACCTATTACCTTGTATAATTTTGTGATAAAAATATAACATTGATGTACATCCCTATAACAAGAATTTATTTTGAGGCACTATTCAATACATATTTGTCAATTGTGTTATGAATGTTGGAGGAAAGATCCAACAAAAAATAATAATAAAAAAAGAAAAGTTTCGGTTGCACAAGTTGCATGGTAATGATTGAACTTCTTCGTAATTTTTTCTGCAAAATGTTTTTCAACTTGAGAAAAATCATTTTAATGGTCCCAAATGACTACTTTTTTTTTCTTTTTTGTTAAATTCCCAAAGGAAATTTCAGGGACCTGGAAGCAGCTGAGATCAATTAAATACTCCAGTACTCAAGCAATGCTTAGGGTAAGTAATCAATTCTAAATCTCCATTTTGAGCCAAAATAATTAATCGATTAAGTTAAACCAAAATTAGGCCTTTAGCTCCTACCCAAAAAAAAAAAAAGTGTGCCTTCAGCGGAAGCTACTGCTCATCTCTTTTCTTCAGCACAAAACATACCGAGGCAGAATCTGAAGCACCCCGATGGCTCTACTTCCAGCACTGCGTTATCTCCTCGTACGCTTGCACCCAACTTCCTCAACCCGCAAGATTATTGCTTCCTCCTCCTTGCCCAAGCTCTCAATCCCACTTTCCAAAAAGTTGTCTTTTTTCTTCTCTTCCTACTCTACTCCCTCCCCCTGCCTCCATGCCTCTCATAGAGGTAAAGCCCCTCCAGCTCCCCCAAATTATACTCATATTTTTTTTTTACATATTTCTCATGTGGGTTCTGAAGTTATGATCTTTTTGTCGCAGAACACACGTTTGTTTTGAATAAAGATGAGAGATTGGTGGGAGATGGAGTTGTGGGCTCTTATGAACAGCAGCAGCAGCATTTTGGGAACTCAACCACCATAGCAGCCATTGTTACCTCCTTGGGTGGTCCTCCTGCCGCTGTCGGGATTGTCAGGTTATCAGGGCCGTCCTCTGTGGCTGTCGTTGGGCGTTTGTTTCGTCCAAAGTCCAAAAGGAAATGGAGAAGTTCAATTTGGAGGCCTAAGAGCCATTTCGTGGAGTATGGTGAGGTCTTGGATCTTCAAGGGAATGTGATTGACGAGGTACAAGTTACTAATTGTTTGATTTTAATGTCCATGTGATTGCTGCATTTCTTATAGTGATTGTAGTCTTTTGTGGAGTAGGGAAGCAATTGTTGCTCCCTTTTCTATTAACATGAAACATTCCTGTCATTTTTTGTTTTTGTTTTTAAATTTTCTGCAAATTTCTATGTTTGCTTTTCTGGAAGATTCACTCTTTCTATGATTTTGTTTCCTGGATATGGATTATAGCGTATTGATCAAATCAAAAGTGGTATAATTAGGTAGTTTGAATTTGTATATCAGCTGTTCGTTTAGTTGTGGAATAAAAAGGAAAAAAAAATGTTTGACTGATTTTATGTTTTTCAGCCATGGTCGCTATATTCTTAGGGCAAATTGCTTGTGTTAGTGATGTAAATTTTGTTGGCTGTGCTTTTACTTAATGGGAAGTGATGTTTTTTCATGCATAAATGGACATTCGTAACTTGGTGTAGGTTTTAGTGCTTCCAATGCTGGCCCCAAAGTCATACACTCGGGAAGATGTGATTGAACTCCAATGTCATGGAAGTGAAGTTTGTCTGCGCCGTGTATTGAGGGCTTGTGTAGAAGCTGGAGCAAAGCTTGCAGAACCTGGTTTGCTCCTTGTCACTGAATTTTTCGAGTTAATTATTTCTGTAGAATTAGTCTTGTAGAAATAGGGCTAAAATGGACTGATTACAAATTAAAGCTCTAGGTTGTAACTTTTAAGGTGGAATTTATTTACTACAGGCACCTGAAGTACTTTTTGACTTCTTCTAGACTTTCTGAAATGTAACTTATCTGTTGCAACTGGCTTTAACAATTTAGGCACATTTTATTTCTCAAAGTTGCACTTGTCTGATTGAAGTTTATATAATGATGGCAAGTTGAATTCACTAACTGGTAGGTGTTGATGTTTAACTTCACTAATTTAAGCCTTGAAACTTATATTTTCTTGAAGGAATTTGAATCTGTGCTTAGAGTAGATGTCCAAGGAAGTAGTTATATGTCAATACTTATGATGTCAACAGCAGTGAAGCTGTGTTTGGGTTGATCTATTGTCTACTCTGGATCGTATGGTCCTTGAGACCATGAATATTAGTTCTTAGTCAAGCTTCTAAAACGTTTTAGGTTATCCATTTGGTTCTTTAAAGGGTAGCATCTCATTGGTTCCTAAGTCATGTCATTGGTTCTTCAATAGCATATCAATTGGCGCTATTGAAATTGATTTTTTCCCCTGGAAGTATGGATCTCCACTGACGTGGAACTCAATATACTCTGTAGCCCGTCTGTAATAATTGTGCTAGTTGAACTATTTAGCTTAAATCAGTACATGTTCAAGTGCCTTGTGCATTTTAAAAGAAGCTGTTGATCTATAAGTGAAATAGAGACAGTGCTCTAAGGTGATGCAATTATTGTCTTGACTTTATCAGGAGAGTTCACACTTCGAGCTTTTTTAAATGGTCGCTTAGATCTCTCTCAAGCAGAAAATGTGGAAAAACTTATCTCAGCAAAATCGGTGGTAGCTGCAGACTCTGCACTGGCTGGAATACAAGTAAATTCCATTAATTTCTGGTTTAATTGATATTTGATATTTTATTGGTTAGTAAATACTTTTTTGACCAGGCACGCAATTTTAGATACTTCTTCCATTTTTTAAGCTAGCTGTAGCTTATATGCATCATATGTGCTATCTCCAATAGTAGGCTCTCTGTGAAAATAAAATCCTTGCTCTCTGACAGGGAGGTTTCTCTGCGATGGTCCGAACACTAAGAATGAACTGCATTGAGTTGCTTACGGAAATTGAAGCTCGTCTAGATTTTGAGGATGAGATGCCACCCCTAGACTTAAAATCTATTGCAAGCAAAATACACATGATGTTGCAAGATGTGGAGAATGCATTAGAAACTGCCAATTATGATAAACTTCTGCAATCTGGGTTACAGGTATTGCAAGGATTTTGGGGTTTTTAACAAATCCTTTCTTGTTTGAGTAATAGAGCTGGGGAGAAAAAGTTCTTTTACTAAAATGTACGTGAAAGCTTATCATCCTTTGTATGCATGGTACACATCTTTTCCATTTCTGTATCTTTCTTTCTTTTCCACCCTTTTGATTGCTAAGCAATTCCCTGTCCTTCCTACAGTTATCAATCCTTTTTTTCCTTTTTTTTTGGGAAATATAGAAGAAATGTGTTCTTGTGTTCCATCATCTATAATTGTTACTGTTCTGCTTTTGCATGATGGAATAAAAGTTGTCTACTTGACTTTAGATTCCTAATCCATACTTGAAAATAGACTTTTTAATTGTTGGGAATTCAACCTTTTTAAGGTGGGGAACTTACGCAATCTGCTCGTTCAACTCATGGCTTTTCTTAATGCTTCTATTTAAATTTGAATAACATCTTCATACTTTATTTAACAGAAAGTTAAGCTCTTTCCTGGAAATTTTCTTTCAGATAGCAATTATTGGTCGACCAAATGTTGGAAAGTCTAGCCTTCTTAATGCTTGGAGCAGAGTATGTTCGAAATTCTCTTATTTGTTTCAAACTTTTGGTTTTATCACTGAAGTGCTTCTTAAAAATAACTACCGCATGATTTAACTTAAGGAATTGTTTGTGTCCATGCACAAAGGCTGAAAGCCATCTTTGACGCATGTACCTTAAATGTATTACAAATCACTCAGTTGTGCGTAATTGCTTTCAAGTTTTTACTGTGAAATTTTATGTAGAATTTTTTTTGTCAATGAACTTAAGAAATCTCTTTTCATTATCTTTCAACTCTTTTTCTTTTCTGCTTCTTTTTTTTTTGGTGGTTGGGGGGGGGGGAATCAACTTTCTAAGCTACATAGGTGGCATTCTCATGTAAGAATTTCAGTGCAGCTAATTCTTGACCAAGTTGAATTGATGCTGTATGCTTATTTAGTGAGAGAAGTTTTAGTGAGAAAATTAAGGAGTCAATGAAAGGAATAACCAAGAATGGAGATATCAGAAGACCAAGAGAATGACAAGAAAGAACAAAAATGCGTGGAAACTTGGAGAAGAGAGAGATAGTTACTAGTTAAGGGCAAGACTTTTTTAACTGCATAATTTGTCATTTGCATAGAATCACACATTTTTCCCACTATTAGCTGACTAATAATTGCCAAGATATCTTAAAATGATATCATCCCAAGCTATTGGCTTAATTTAAGAAAGAAAAGACAAAAACGGTCAGTGCTTCTTGGTATAAGACTTATAATCCCTGACATCTTATGAGCTCTAAGCTGCTTATCTTGAAGTGCTGGAGACTTTTGTGGGACAAAAAATCTGAAATAGTTAGAAGAATGCCATATTGTGTAGATCTGGGGAGAGGATGTGAGTTGCATTGCTGTATGTGAATCATGATCATTTTAGCATCTTGTTGTGATACTCTGTCAACTGCTGATTGTGTATCTTGTTTACCTTTTAGCATGCAGAGTGAGAGAGCTATTGTTACAGACATAGCTGGTACAACACGTGATGTTGTAGAAGCCAGTATATCAGTTCGTGGAATTCCTGTAACGCTTCTTGATACAGCAGGTATCAGGGAAACTGATGACATAGTGGAGAAAATTGGTAAGTCCAGATAATCTTCCTTGCTAAGTTGTAATGTCAATGTTGCCACCAATGCATCTCCTTTTGTACTTGTACATTAGATTATTCAGCATGGCTTAGATTTCTGTCGTTCTTCTCTATCATAGTACTGGGAGATTTGCTTATGAATAGTTTTAATTCTGTGTCAAATTACTTGACAGAATGGCAATGATTAGACTTCTGAGTTTATCTTTCTTGTGCAATTTCTTTAAAACTCAAAAACATGCTTGTTTACTTTTAAGATTTCATTTTTTTCATTTGCTCGTCAGAAAGATAGTGAAACAAGTAAAAAATCGCTGGTTTTTTCATGCTGACTTGACCCTTGTCTGTCATCTAAGAACAAAGTATGAGTTACAAGAACTAGTCAAAGCCGATGAAAATTGAATTCCTGGGCAAATTGAGTGTTCTTGTCTATTGGCTTGTTTTATTTAACCAGCAAGAGAATACCAAGTCAAAGCGTAAACCGATGTTTTTACTCAAAGAAGCTATGCTAAAACAAGATTGCAACCTGCATTTGATTCACTTATTTTGTTCCTTGTGTGTGAAGACCTTTAGCCATATCAAGTGCCCATATGCTTCTTAATTTTTCAAACCAGAAAATAATTTTTATTTTAAGTTGGAAATGCTGATTTTGTCATTCTTGAATTTGACTATGTAACAGGTGTGGAAAGATCAGAAGCAGTTGCTACAAGTGCTGATGTTATTATCATGACCGTAAGTGCAGCCGATGGGTGGACTATGGAGGACACCGTACTTCTTGAAAGGATTCAAAGTAACAAGGTATTATTTTCTTCATACTGCCTTGAATTGCACATGAGACTTGGAGAGACCTTTTTATTTCTTCATATTGTGAAAATTTCTGGCCAAATTGTGCTCCCTGGAAATTGATATCATAATACTGTGGATGTGTGTTTTATGCATTTGCACTGCTATGAAATGATAAATATCTCCGTTAAGCTGATTATTATGGAAAATAGGAATTATCTTCAGTTCTTGTTGCAACCTTAGACTGGCATGAGTGGATTCTTGCTGGTAGGTACTTCGAGAGGAGAAGAGCTGGTCCCCTTATTTAATCCCACCGCTGAGATGCTCAGTTAGTGGAATACTTGTTTTTCAAACTATCACAAATCAGTTCCAGTTTATTGTCACGTTTTTGCTTCTCTTGAGTATGCATCTGAATGATGAGTTGCATGTCAAGATTTGGAATTTGGTAACCTTTCACATAGAATGCTTGCTACTTGCTTGGCTTGCATGATAAGTAGTTTTAAATTTGTTATCATGAAGCTCTGATTTAGGTATATGTATTATTCGTTAATCCATGGCTGTCAAAATTTAGTTTGGCATTCAATACTTAAACCAGAACCACTGTGCTCAGGTGCATGCCTACGATTCTGCCTTTGCTCAGCTGCAGGGGTCTTAGTGCTGTGCCCTATATGCACTTCTCGCTAACAAACCATGCTAGGGTAGCTTCCGAAATGATTGCGCAGAAATGGTGTTTCTGGCCTTCTGTCACGGTGCTATCCTAGATTGTTTAGGTTGCCAGAATAGTCTGTACAGAAAATATAGCTGTAATGATTAATCAACAATTTAGTTGGCAATAGTATTTATGAGATCCCATATGGGTAAGCCAACAGCAACTAATGCTGAGATTTCTTCTTCTGAGATTAAACCTCTGATTCTCATCGTTTGTTGTTTAATTCCAGGGTGCATCAGGATCTACCTCTCCAATAATCCTTGTTATTAATAAAATTGATTGTGCCCCAACTACCTCCTACAAATGGGACACTACAGCTACCTTTTTCAATAAACTTATTTTTACATGTGCTGTCACTGGACAAGGGATTACTGATCTGGAGGCTGCCATTCTAGAGATTGTTGGTCTTAACACAATTCCTGCAGGAGGTTGCAGATGGGCCGTGAACCAGGTTAGTTCCTGTAACTTTCTTTGCATGTGAAATCATTTCTACTTTCCTGTCTTTCATCTGCTCTGGGAAACTTTGACTTATTGCCATCTTAATTGTCTCTTCCAAAGTCTCTGGATGTTGGTTTCACAATGACCTATTATTTGTATTTGAGCTATATTTGTTAGTCCAGCGTGGAAAGAGAAGCCTTCCATTGCTTTCCATCACGAGCTTCTAGGGATCCGACTACGCATGATATAATTCAATAACCTGTTTTTATCTTAGAATATTCACCTTCTTGTATGTCTGGGCATGTTATGCAATTTAGTGCTAAAGATTCGAGTTTGGCTTCTGAATGGTTTGAGACCCCCCTTGGATGTCTGGACACTGAGTTATGTACTTTGTTTCCTTTGGTTACACTGACTTGTGTACTTCCAATATGGATTTACATTTTACAGTGTCATAACTTTTCTAATTTGTATCCCTTAAATGTTTTGTTCTGATTTTCAAAATGTTACTGATTGTCAGAGACAATGTGAGCAGCTTGTTCGGACGAGGGATGCTCTTGTTAGATTAAAGTCGTCAATAGAGGAGGAAATTCCGCTAGACTTTTGGACAATCGATTTGAGGGAAGCTGCTTTGGCCCTTGGGCAGATAAGCGGTGAAGATATTTCCGAAGAAGTTTTGTCTAACATATTTGGAAAATTCTGCATTGGTAAATAGTTACTTTAGTCAAAAGTTAAAACGACAGATTTGTCTCTTCAAACGTTTGCATTTCTTGAAGCTTTCGATATAAACTTTGCGATGATAATTAAAAAAAAAACACTAGGTTACATTTTTTATTTTTACTGCGTATTCAGTTTGTTGAATTATTCCATCACCAGAAAAATGACACTGATTAGCCAAAAACTACAGCGCAACAGCACAATTCTTTTTTTCCTTTCAAGACTTTGTCATTGAAAAGCATGCCAAGACTCGAGCCTTTGAGTTTCGTACGTCCTTTTCTATTACAAATATCTAAGGATTGTAAAGGGTCTAAGAACCGGCAATCTTCCAATACCTTACAACCCAAGGCACTAGCACATATTTTACATGCAAAGGTTCATGAAAAGTAAAACAAAAGAATGAAGGTAAAAGAATTAAAGAATTCAATCCAATATAGCTTTTCTACCCCTGCAAAACTATCTTATGGACTTGGGGAAGGAACAAAAAAAAATTTATAGTAAAAAGATGATGGAAGTATGGAGAAGAATGCTACAGTATATCACAAGTTCACGGATGGATAAATCGAGCCCTCATTCTGCATCCCCAACTTCCATCTTTCTGGAGTCTTCGCATTTGAGATTGTTTGCTCAATTCAATGAGTTGGCTTTCCCACTTGCTTCTTGGATGCCTTTCTGGGCATTGCCTCTCTTCCAAGCCTACCCCAAAGCTGCAATCATTTTCCAAAGCTCCATCCATCAAACTCCTATAAACCTCCTGCAACTCCACAAACATCTTGGTGGATTCTTCCTTCACGGAAGAATGACAAACATCAGGATGATACTGAAGTGCCATTTTCCTGTATGCCTTCTTTATCTCACTCACACTTCCACTACTAGACAGAACTTCATGACAGTTTATAGCCCTTTTCTGTCCACATTGTATGGTAGCTCTGCATGAAACAACGTTAAAATTCTGATGTACAGAATAGCTCATCATGATGCCGCTCCCTCTCTTTAATGTTGAGCTCAGGCAAGCATCCATGTAGCAATGAGACTAGCTGCTAGCCGGCTCTGAGAGGGTTTTTTTTTCCCATGTATATATACTAGTAGAAGTAGATAAAACTTGAAAGAACTTGGTCAAGGAATAACATAATAAAACTCACTGCTTCGATAATAATGTAACATGAATTGGTGTATATAGAGATAAGTAACAATAAAGCCAAAAACTCAGCAATTTCTGTCTTCTTTCTTGGTCATAAGGATCAGTTGCAATAAAGCCAAACACTTATAAATGAATGTTGTCAAAATCAAATTGTCTGTTGAGTTTTACGCGGAATTGCCGTACTGAGAATTAGATAGCCAAATTAATGATGTTGAATTAACCATCGGTCCATGCAGTCCAAACTAAACTCGACATGCATATTTTGTCTCCAAGTCATAAATGATTATTGATGTAGCACTTGTTTATGTTCTTGAAGACTGTTATATTAACCGTAATGGGTGTCTTGGACCCTGATGTCTACTATAGATGCCTGTCAGATACTTTGTCTCAAAACTGACAAACACACACATATATATATAATTATTTTATAGCCTCAAAACCCCTCCCTTTTGAAGATATTCCCTTCTCTCCAAAGATTTTGCATTTTTTTTTGTATAGTAATAAGAAAGTCCAATTACATACTTGCAATACCTTGATGGGTTAATTTGTTCCTGGTGTTTAACATATTATCCCAAAGAGAGAGCTTCAATACTACAATTTGTATTTAAATTGTTTGAGATGGTCTGGTCAACTTTTGCATTGTGTTTCGTCCTTCTTTCTGGTTATATTCACGGTGTCGTGTCTCAGGAAAATTATGGAACCATCGTACATAGGTTTTTTTTTCTTTTAATAATTTGTTGAATTTTTTGTTTTATAATTCATGATTTTCAAACACAAAGGACAATCAATAAAAATGGATTTTAACAAAATTATAGCCTGAAGAAGCATTGTCCCTTCGTGCATAATTCAATAGTAAAAGATACTTATTTCTTCTCATAAATTGAGTGTTCAATTCTCACTAAAAGATGTAGTAGCATTTTTCATTCTGGGTGGCTAGGACCTAAAACATGATCATATGTGTGTGCCTGTGATAAGAAATTAACACGAGACAGATGGGACAGAAAGTGATCTCAAGACAGAGGATTTGAAGCGCCCTCATAGGCATTATTAAACTTCAAAATGCTCACTTCATGCGAATTTGCTGGCCATATCCAGCCGTTTACGAGTTTTGAATACTCGATAACAAAAGTTAGTAGACAACTTAAATATGGATTGACAAGGGGAAATGACTGTGTTCCAGATTCACATTCTAAAACTTATTTTACAAGAACCAAGCAATACTGATTTTCCAGTCATAAAGGAATCTTCAATGAACCTTAGCTGTGGACGGTGGATCTTAAATCCTAGCTTCATTACGCGTTGAAGATTGAAAGAAGGAAATCAAATAACTAACACTTTTAACTATGTAGCACATTACTAGGTTGTATTTTCTTTTTCTTTTTTGTATCATCTTAGTCATCCAAATTCATGTGAGAAGCTGATATTTTAATTATCTATAGATCTATTATAAACTTTTTAACTGTTAAAATTTCTTTACAACTAGTTTGTATGAGCTCTTATTGCATAAGAGGAATTCTGACTTGGGCAAATCACATAGATCGATGCAAATAATTCTTTCTTTATAGAGTGCAAACAGTAGTGACGATGATGCATAGAAAGTGTTGCTCATTTAACCAATATTTGCAGTTTTCTTCTTGTAGTACTGTTTATTTATTGTGTAATGCACATAGATTCTTGTTATTGTTATTAATAAACAAGAACTTGCTAGACAACTTTTCTTTATTGGCGTGGAAACATTCTTGGTTTGATAAAAATGACGGTTCATTGCAATAAAAGTGCACATGCAACAAGACAAATGCCTGAATCAAAAGGATTGGACGGCAGCAAAATATTTGGCGGATTAGCCATGAGACAAAGCAGATTAGGGACAGCCTAATCCCATGCAGCTAGACTGTATAGTATAAAGAACATGAGATGATGGGCTTGAGCAGAACAATTTGTTAGGGTGTTCTTTGATCATAGGAAAGAAGTAGAGTTCTGCAATTTTCATTCCAAAAGGAGCTGGCAAAATGTGTTTCAACTTGAAGCAGCAGCAAACAAAGGAAGAGTTGGAGGAGATGAAGAAGAAAAAGAAACAAAAGGAAAAAGAGAAGGAGAAGAAGGCAGAGGAGAGAAAAGCCAAGGAGAAGGAGAAGAAGAAAAGAGAAGAAGCTGAGAGAAAGGAAAAGGAAAAAAGAAAGAAAGAAGAGGCGGAGAGGAAGGAAAAAGAGGAGAAGAAAAGGAAGGAAGAGAAGAAGAAACAAGCTGAGGAGGAAAAGAAAAGGAAAGCTGAGAAAGAGAAGAAGAAAAAGGAAGAGCAGAAGAAGAAGGAAAAAGAAAAGAAAGAGAAAGAAAAGAAACAACGGAAGAAGAAATGAATGTTATTTAATCATTCTTTTTTATGTGCAATCCATAAATTGTTTGTATTGTATCTGGTGTACGAGATTTTTAATAACTCGCTCTTCAAGATAAAGAGCAAAAAAATTGATAGGAAATTTAATCTAAATTTCCTCGTTTGAGGACCGCCAAGTTGTTATTTTCTTTGCTATGTAATCTTGACCAATTATTGCTTGCATAATGTAAAGCTCGTTTCCCCTTTATTAAATTGGACAAAATCATTTCGAGACTATTAAGTTGGTAACTGTCCCAACCTTGGGTTCCATTTATACAATGAGTAATTAAAAATTATTTTTTTGAATGCAATTTAAAGTGGATGAGCATCAGCGGACATTCAACACATATATTTGGACCATTTTATTCTTCTTCTCTCTCTTAATGTAAGTAATAAGAGTCAATGTTAAAAACATTACATTTTTGCAGGAAAGTGCTTGTTGCAATTCAATTTTCCATGGCAAATAGTGCAAGTACATTAAATCCGTTACTTGGCAAGGGGTGAGCAAATTCGGTTCATACCGAATTCATAATCAAATTCAAATTCAATTCGGTAATTTGAAATCGGGTATTTGGTAATTTGATACAAATTCGATACATACCGAATTCACCGAATTCTAATATGGTATGAAATAGGTAATGAGATTATGAATTTGGTAATAACCGATTTCGCATTCAAATTCGGTAATTGAAATAGGGTACCGCATTACCGCATTCGAATACCAAATTGGTATATAAAATTATATAATACTATTAGTATATATAGATAAATACTATTTAGTATTAGTATATACTACTAATATATTATTATATTATATAGGTAAATGCTATTAATAATAATTAGTCTATGGTATTATCATCATATCATGTACTTATAATAATAATAATAATATATAATAATGTACAATATATTATTTTAGTATTTGTTAATTGTTATATGACTATAATAATACAAATATATAGTAATACATAACAATATAAGATAACTACTTATTATTTTATACATGAGTAACATGACTAGAATTAGATAATAATTAATTTACATATATGTATAATACTAAATATTAAACAATAAACATAATTAGTAATTAGAATTTAGATATTGGTAATTTGATACATCATTGATCATTCATGTTTGAATTATTGAATATTTGAATGCGTAATCTATAACTTGCAAGTATTAGTGTGTTCTAAATTTATATTACATATTTAACATAAAAATTCATATTATCTATTCACTAATCTTAAGGCTTTAAGTATAGACAAGACAACTAAGCAGTGTAAGTGAATGCATGTGAATTGCAAATCAATGTATTAGTGTATTGACTTTCACAATAACATATGTAAGTAAATAAGTTTTATTTTGATTTGAAATAAATTATAAGTTTGTAACTAATATAACTTAACACTAATTATTGTAATTTGTTAGTTTATAACTAATATTACTTATTATTAATCATTGTAAATTATAAATTCATAAATTATCACTAATCATTGTACAGTCTAAGATTTATTCTAATTTAAATTAATCACTTTTTATGTGTTCCTTAAATCATTGATTAAGGATTCTAGGTATAAGTGATCAAGTAAATGCCAATTAAATTAA